TCAATGATTTTATTTATTCCTTTTCAAAATATAATAGAAAGGGAATTATGGCACAAGCTCAAATTGGACAATTCAATGATCTTTATATCCCAGAAATGTAAAAACATTAGATTGGGTAGGTATTGTATTTACACAAAAATCATTTCTGTTTGTTAAAAAGAAGTGAAAAAAGTCCTGGAATAAAAGACTATTAACAAGTATGGAAATCTTGCTATGATCAAAACTGCAAACTTGTTCAGAATTTCACCCAGTCACCTATGAAACGACGAAAAGCTCCCAAGCTGAAACTCTGTCTGCATGGGAATGTGAAACTTACACAGAAGAAGAAACTGACAAAACAATACCATAATCTTGTACTTTGGTTAATCTTGAACAAATGGGGAAAAATGTTAGAAAGAATAAATACACTTTATTTAGACTGATACTAACAATAGAGACGTCCAAGAGAACAGCCAATCAGCAATAAGTAGGTCATCTATTTATAGTCTACTGTCTACTACTTGAATGTTGACGGAGCGGCCAAATTGGAAGTTCAAATTATTGAAAGACGAGTTCTAAATAAGTCCAAAATTCATGATATTGTTGGAATTTGGAGTGTGCACATTTGAGGGAATTTAGAAAATACCTTTATCATTTAGTGATGTGTCGATTTCGGAGGAACGACATCGACGCCGTGTAGTAGTCAATCAAACTCAATGATAAAAAGTAGTCCATTAAGGGGCGGAGCTTATATTTTCATTCAGTTTACACAGATATAAACCGAATGCACGTGACAGCTGTTAATTAATCAAATTGCGTGATACCGTTTAAACGGAATCGTAATTTACTTATTTAACTTTAATTTCTCATAACGGTAGTTGTTTTGATAATTGGGTTATTATTAAGAATATGGCAAAATTAACTCATTGTCCTCTGAAAACCAGTAGAGGCATACTTTGTTTACCAATATCTAATCCATTTACAGAAAAATACTTTCAGAAAAAATGGAATAATGAGAAAAAATTAATCAACGAAAACAATCTTCAAAAAATAAATTTCACCTGTTCCTTTCAACAAATAGCAACAAGTTTAAAAGATTGGGGAAAATCATCAGAATTACCAATGAATTTAAGAAAGATTGACTTAGATATCACGCAATTTAACGAAACAAATTGGGAAACCCGAAGAGAAGAATGGGGGCCTTATGCGAAAAGGGATACTTTATGTTTGATGTTTGATAATATACAATAAAGTCATGAAATCTATGATAAATAAAAGTATTATAAATAATTTAATATCTCCCGCTCTATCTCTTAAAGTTTGGTAATATTTATATACAGTCCAACATCTTACTGTCAATGGTCGCCAATTTCTACAAAATAAGGAATTTGACCCTATGCAGCCTCATGGGGTTATATCTCATAAACTTTTCATGAACAATCGGCCCCTTAAATTTTTGATCGGTATCAGATTTCATTCTCTGAGTTGAGAAGTTGTATACTGAACTAACTGGAGTTTCAATTTTAGTTTCCTGTTCTATTCTTGTTTAAAGCTATAATAGCTTGGTCAAAGTCTGCAGCCATAAAACTACCAGAATCTGTCAGAGTTTAAATAATTGGTTGATGTATTCAGAGTAGACAATTAAAAACTAGTATTCCAATCTTAGATTCATTGTAGATTCATATCCCTGTAGCACAAATAGTTCTAATTGTCTTAAAACAGGGATTGTAGAGCACGTATTTAACAAAATTAGAGACATGGCAATAGCACAAATCAAATTACTGCTCATATGTAGTTTAACTTATTATATCTGTTTTTTTTTTCTTAACATGACATCATGTCCTCATCATGCCTTACAAAGATAATACTTTCTAGATTATAATGAGATGATTAATAGGGTGTTAAGAACATTTTTGACATATTGTTTACACTGACCATTCCTGGTAATTAAATGCGTTGAAGCTTAAAAATGGTGTGAACTCCAAAGAAGCAAATTTTTTACAGTAAGATGAGGAGTTATCTGACATATTTAATATCAAAAATATAAAAAGGATTTATCGGGTCTTCACGAAGAGTTGAAAAAATTCGTTTCCACTGAATTAATGGCATTTGACGCTAATGGTCTTTATGCTTCTGCTATGTGTGATGGTGAACAATCTGAAAACAGCCAATTTGTGAAGCTTTTGTGAAACTGTGCTATTTTATCTGTTTGGTTTGAATTTCCAAACAAAAAGTTTTTTCAACCAATACAAGCCAAAGACAAAATAAGTTACGATTCAAAAACTGGTGATAAGATAAGATTTAGAAATGGATTTTGTAACGATGTTCTCACTTCATTCGACAAACAGGAACTTGTTCGAGCTGGTGGAAGGATTATCAAAATATTAGATGGTATAGTCTACGAAGAAAACATTAAAACACCTCCTTTTAGAGACTATATTTTGACTTTAAAGGAAAAAAGAAATGAATACAACAACAGGGTAATACTGTAGGTAGTAATTGTGTGAAATTATTGGGAAATGTTATTTACAGTAAAACTGTCCAGAAAGATATTAATACAAAATTTCATTTATGGTCTGAAGAAACGCTTAAAGCAAATTTTTATTCAAATATAATAAGTTACGAACATGTAAATCACTATCAATACATAGCACAAAAGAAAAGGAACAACCCGAAATTATGAAACAAACAAAGACAACGAGGTTAACTCAGATCATTCATCTTAGCACATATCAAACGAATAATGAATAATTTTATTCACGTTATTGATGGATTTTTCAAACCTGAAATATATTATACTGATACTGATATCTTATACATATCAGACAAAAATTGGGAGAAATTGAAAAAAGCTGGTTTAACTTCTGAAACGGAATATGGAAAGGGTAAGAATGATGGAGATGGAGGCATAATATTTGGTTTATATCTAGCCCCAAAAGTAAAATATAATATTGTTCTAACTTCTAACGGAGAATTAGTGGAAAAGAAAACTTTTAAATGATATACAAAAAATAAGTTGACCGTAGACGATTATCCTAAATTAGCTAATGGAGATGACAACAAAAACGAATTCGTTGAACCTTGGAAAACAAGTTTTAAATATGGTATAGTAATTCCGAAAGATAAAAAAAGAAAGTGTTTAAGCATAATTTAGATTTGATTAAAAGAAAACCACCAAACAAATATGGAATAATGTATCCCTGTAATAATTAACATGGATACAAATAAAATATTCGATGATTATGATTACATAATTTTGGATAAAAATGAGGAAACATGTTATTGAATACGTATTTCTTCTTCACCAAAGTCTAAATATCTTCCATGTCCGTCTTTTATATCTAAATTGATTCTTTTGATCCCAACCAACTTGCAATGAATATTGATGATATCGATGTCGTTCTCAATATTTGCTTTTTAGGAGCAAGTGTAGATTTGCTATACAATTTCTTTTCAAAACCTACTAATTCATTTATTGAGTTTTCCACATTGAAATCTACTTTATGTTTGTCTTTTAAAGCTAGTTTTATTTTGTTCAGATTTGAATTACCTTCGAATTCAATATTGGGTTTTCCTTTGTGACTTCCAACGTCTTCAGATATACAATCGTTGATGATAAATTGATTTGTAGGATGAAACACCAACATTTTCTATTTGGGAAAGCGGTGAGACTTATTTCTTTTGTATCTTCATCCAATCCCTCTTTGTGAACTTACTGCCTGAGCATCTAAACGACTATGATGACCAGAAAATAAGTGGGGGTTTAGTGCGATACGAATTCCTTTTCGTATTTTGTAATTTTATTTATTCGGGTTGTATTTTGAAAGAAATAAACCATCACCAGTGCGAATGTCTTAATAAAGAATTATTCCCTTTGCTCCTCTTCTTTGCTAAAAGATGTCAAGTTGGCGATTTTATGCAGTGACATAACGTTACCTTTTCAAGGTTCGCGTTATGAGCTTCGTTCTAGATTCAATATGGCCGACGCGTGAATGAGGTCTATAGCATTTTCTTTTTGTAACTGAACGTAGGTCTGTATTCTAAATAGGGCGTAGATAATTATTGTCCATGTAAATATATAATATATACATTCTAAAGGATCATTTGAGTGAAAATGGTACAAGTCAAGTATGTGTGGGACAAAAAAAGTTCGTACTAACCCTTAACGTGGATACTACTTCGTTGAAAGTCTCAAACTTGGTTAATAAGTGTATATATTCATCAGTTGGACTTACCCGGTGCCATGACTAAAGAATAGAGTCTCTATTAAACACGATATGTCCATAATACTAAACAATTAAGCATCTTTCAAAATATCTAAGTTTAATGAATTATTACTTAGTTTTATGGATTTTCTTGAATTATAGAGGGATTCTTTTTCATATTTATCTATGCCACAAGATAAGTGAACCGATGGACAAATAAATTTCAGTTTTTGTGATTGGGAGTATACCTTTAAGATAAATTTTGGGTTCGTTCCAAATATTGTTATAGAACACAACAAGGAAGACAGCCGTAATACGATTTAAAATGTTTAGAAATCATGATACAGTGTATTCTTTGGTATCCGAAATCTAAGTATTACGACAATTTAACAATTCCACTTTTAGTTAATATATATAAATAGTGTACTTAGTAGTAAGACAAAGAGTGGGAGATCTATAAACATTATTAGGTATGTGTACTCTCTGCAATTAGCTGGGTAGCTATTTGACAAACCTAAACACACAATCAAAACAAAAAAACCCACACATTATGAGGTATGTTGACTCTCTGCAAGGGGTAGCTTTTGACAAACCTAAACAAACAAACGAAAAACCCAAATATTGTGAGGTATGTTGACTCTCTGCAAGGGGTAGCTATTTGACAGACCTAAACACAAAAAAAAACCCAAACCATTATGAGGTATGTTGACTCTCTGCGAGGGGTAGATGAGGTATGTTGACTCTCTCTGCGAGGGGTAGCTATTTGACAAACCTAGGAAGGAGAACACTGTAGACACGAAGATGTATGTTTGAGAAATGGATGTGGAACTTGCTACGATATCGTTATCTGGTAACTATAACAAGATCCATGATCATTCCTCATATATACAGTATACTCCGTGTAATCCGACAAACACTGTACATTGATTATTTTTTCTAATAAAAACTCCAAAATTCCCTTTTTAATTGTACAAATGTGGTATAGTTTCAATTCGCTGGTGCCTGTCAATCATCGGCGTGTCATAAAATTTTCAGCGTTTATTGGTTCATAATGATATTCGGTAAAGATGGATATATAGGAGACCAATAATTGGTTCTGTAAATATTAGATAATATTTTTACACTGCTGAAGTTATATTTTTACTTCAACAAGGAAAGTGAGACCTAGCTACTAGGAAATGTGCAAATATAAACAGTTCAATATGATGTTGGTGTTTCTGATGTTATTTATTCTTTGTTTCAAAGGTAACAATTTTCACAATTATACGACTTCATACTACGGTGGTTCGTTTACGACATTTTCTATTGGAATTTATTATTATTTAAGTTTACAATATAATAATATTTTTACAATAATATTATTACTGTGACCATGATACCTTGTGCCCGTATTTTTTCAGAATCACACTCCGAGGTTATATCATACCCTTCACCTGGATCTGGTTTGTCTTTTCTCTGCGGTTGTGTGTCAGCTACGCAATATAATAAAATCATAACAATAACGTGTTATGAAGGTGATGTCATCCAAATGGAACCAAACGGTTATACAATGAGAGACGATACCAGCCGTAACAACTACTTTGAATGTGGCAGTCGGAATCACGGTTCATGTAAATCCGACTTTACTACAATATCATATACATCTATCCATATTAAAAAACGATCATTCACTTATTTTTCTGGACGAAGAACTTTATACGTAAAAGATCGCATGGAAATTTATAAGAAATGTACTCTTCAGAAATCATGTGATATAATGATTGCCGGAGTACAACAGGACCAAGAAAGATTGGTGAATTATCCGTACTACTGTCATTCTGGTAAGAAACATTTTAACAAGGTACGCGTGTTCTTGTAAAATTATCAATTCTGAAACTTTGTTATATATACGTGATTCCTTTTGTTTTACAAGAAGAGATGACCTTGAAGTGCCCATCATTGAGTCCATTTGGATACAATTATTACCAGATAACAACTCTCCAATTCTTGTATGTTGTCTTTATCGTAATCCAGCATCAAGTAAAATTTGCTATCTAACTTTGAAAATATGATTGAAAAAGCATGGCAAACTGGCTTGGAGATAGTTATCTTTGGTCATGTAAATATTGATGTTTTTAACTCTGTTTTGGAATGAGTTATTATCTGTATCAAGTAATTGATACCCTACTCGTATAACTAAATGATCTTCCACTATTATAGATCATGTCATTGTATCAGACCCCCATCATATTATTGAAAAATGTATTCCTCGTTATGGCTTGTCTGATCATTTTCCAGCACTTTTCACTTGGAACAAAAAATGTATTCGTCTGCCTAAACACCAACATATTACTATTCAATATCGTTCTTTTAAGCTAATTTGGACTGTGTCCATTCTCTTGATGATCCTAATCAGGCTCTTGACCTCTGGTATACAATTTCTTAAACTATTATCGATAGGCATGTACCTCTTAAAGTTAAAAAGTGTAGAGTTTAACCAAACCCCTTGGTTAACTCACAGTATTTTAAATGACATGAAATCACGTGACTATTATTTAAAGAAGTTTGGAAAATGTGACCAATACATGAGTTTCAGAAATCGCATTAAAACCTCTATAAGAGTATTGTAAGTCCTTAGTTAATGATATGAATAGCTCAAAATCGATACGGAATGCCATAAATACAATTACTAAACCCTTGTGTAATTCTAGTTCTTTAAATTCTGAAATGTTTAACGAGCACTTTACTAAAATTGCTAGTAATTTATTAAACAATTAATCATGTCCTCAAACTGTCTTCAATAGTGATAAAATCTCCAATTTTATTAATAGTAAAACTTCCGACTTTACCTTCACTATTCCTCATATATCCACATCCACTGTGTTTAAGTATTTAAGAACGCTGAATCCGTCCAAAAGTCCTGGCCTTGATCGGTTACACCCGAGGTTTCTGGTGCTGCTATTATTATCTAACATATATATATAATCTTTGTATATCCAATTCTGAATACCCTTCTATTTTCAAAATTGCTAAAATTTCGCCTATTCATAAAGCTGGCCCTAAACTTGATCCGACTTGAACAACTACAGACCCATTTCTATTCTAAATACTATATCCTAACCACTTTAAAATCATGTTTCTAATGCAATTAATGAATATTTAGATGATTATAATCTCCTACAAGCTACACAGTCTGGCTTTCGATCACCCAGCTCCTTCAAAGTATTTGACTTGGTCCACCATGATCTTCTCATAAAAAACTTTCACTCTATCATTTTTCTGGTAACACATTAGCTTTCTTTTAGTCTTATCTTGAAAAAAGATTGCATCAGACACATGTGAATGGAGAACTTTCATCTTCACTGTCCATTCATTACGGTGTTCCTCAGGGCTCTATCCTTGGCCCACTCTTTTTAATATCTTATAAATGATTTACCCTTAGATGTGCAATCTAATCATGACCTTTTTTGCTGACGATACTACCCTATATTCTTCTGATTAGAATTTGTCATGTTTCCAAGCTAAACTTCAATGTGGTGGTGATATTGTTTATAATTGGTGCCTTAATAACTCTATGATTGTAAATGAATCTAATACCAAATGTATGCTAATTACTACTAGCCAAAAAAGAGCTCACCTAATATCAGATTATCTTGATATTAATATTAACAATTATAAGATAGAAAATGTTTCATCGTTTAAACTTATTGGAATTATTTTAAATTATAATATGAAATGGTCTGATCATACAAAATATATTTCCAAAATCTTAAATGGTAATGTACCATCTTATTTACGTGAAACTTTAAAACATATAATACTCCTTACACCATCAATACTAAACTAATACTACCTAGACCTAGGATATCTACTGTGAAACAGAGCATTTAATAGGTCGGCGTCTGTCTCTGGAACTCTCCATATATCACAAATTCAGTCAATATTTCAACTTTTAAGAAACACCTGTTTTCTAAGTACATCCAACTTTAACTTTTACTGATAATTACTAATTTAATTTCATTTTCTTCTCTTAGAAGTCTTTATACGAAATTTTAAGAATATAGGGCCTATATTGTGGGTAACTGTACATATATATACATAATGTATTTTACATTTGTGTTTTATATTTTGATATGTTTGTTCATTCAATGTTTGGGCTCAATTGTAAGAAGGCCTTTATGCCTAATTGTTAGCAAACTAAAGAATTTATTGTTGAGGTCTTATATGATTAAGCAATGCCTTTGTAACAATGTGGTTTTACCAGTCAAATGGGATACATGAAATTCACTCTCTAAGATCATTTCTAAAATCGTTTATGCACTGGTGTGGGTAATTATACTTCGTAAGTTGCAAATTAGATTGCCAGGGATACAATTTAAACCAAAAAAATATGTAGAGGTAGTACGGTAGTTCGTATACGACATCATTTATTTTTTATAATTTTGAATAAAACTGGAATATAATTATAAAACATAATTTTGAATTAAAAACTTTTTTTTTCACCGTCGGCAGGGGTTATCTTACCACACGTCAACAAATTTATCCTGTATTCAGATTATAACCAAGAGCATGTACATTTTTGTCATGTTTTTTCTTTTTTTCAGCTAATTCACTACATGATATATCAGTAAAAGTTGAAAGATCAAAGAAGGGTATTTTATATTTTACTGGTAAGAAGTTTATAGGACAGAAGATTGATTGTGACTGTTCTGTCACTCGTTCCACTGAGATTAATGTGGAAATTTTTTTTATTCATTTAAAACCACACACCTGCTCCAATGTGAAAATATTCACGACCAAACGACGAGTGCTTCGTTGTTCTAGAAATGATACTATATTATTACATATGGAGGAATTTAAATCGACACATTTTAAACTGGAGATACGAGGAATGGAACCAGATGGAGAAGATGTTATATTTTTGAAAGTAGGGGGTAAGGCTTGATTTGGATTCATGAATCAATTAGTATATACAGTCTGTAAGAAAGAAAGAAACAACTATATTTATTTTACAAGGATAACAACTTAGGTTCACAGTAGTAGTACTAGAGCTTACATATTGGTCGCACGGGGATTCCCCATTCCATTTCATAGGAAAAATGCGACCAATATGTAAGCTCCCAAAAAAGACCTAAACTCCCTACATTCCATCAATATTCCTCCCAAAAACCTAAACACCCTACATTTCATAAATTCTTACACTAAAAAAAGACCTAAAACCCCTATAAATACTTACACCCTATACACCCTACATTTCATACACCAAAAACACCTTCAATCAATTTCCTACATTCATCAAAAAAAGCATATTAAAAATACCCTTATATAAAATAACATAACATTTTAAATAGCCTCGTTTTAAGTAATTTTATTTTTAGTCTAGAAAAGGGAGATAACTCTTTTTTTGGAAACACAATTTTCTACTCAAATTTTAAACCTTAAAAATGGCAAATGAAATACTAGATCCAATCTTTAGATTATACGATCCGATTCGTTATTCGTTTAACAAGAAAAAAGAGGATTATATTATCATCTCACTCACTGTTGGTTCTAAATCCCAATTGAATGATGGTGGTAGAATTACCTTCGAAATAAATTCATTATCGAATTGGTTGCTTCTCTCCGATGCTTATTTCAGATGTGATTTCAAAATTAAAGATGGAACTCAGAATCAAGTTCTACAAACTAATACAACGTTAGAAAACAATTTCTTTCCATCTTTATTTAGCGAAATGGTTTTGGAAGCTGGTTCAAATCCGATAGAAACAATCAAACACCCTGGGGAATACGACACAATGTTGAAAACAGTTTTATATCCTAAAGATTTCGATTCAGTCTCAGGTTGGATACCCGATGTTGGTGATGGAAGTGTTTTAAAAGAACCGGTAAGAAATCTTGCAAATGATGCTGATTTAGCTAGAGTGAGAGTTGTTGTTCGAAACACAATAGAAAGAGTAGCACGAGCAGCTATTCATGGATTCGAAAAACGAGTACTTCAGTACAATAATATTGTTGAGTATAATAGGTGGGGTAATTACGTAAATTGGAAATTATATCCTTTATTCGGTCTGTTGGAACATAGAAAAGTTTCCAAAGGGTTACCATATAAAATTCATCTACAAAAGAAATCAACGATGATAAGATATTCTTTGGAGAGAATGGTTTAGATGCAAAATTAGAAATAACGAAACTTTTCATTCCCGTAATAACACCATCAATTGAAGTAGAAACGAGAATATTCAACTCGTTAACTAAAGATATTGAAATAGCTTTTCTTCTTCGTAATACGGTAGGTAGCATGACTTTAACTGGAGAGTCCACCACATGGTCAATCACCAATACTATTAAACCGGCAAGATATTTAATGGCTGGTTTCAAGAACTTACCAGATTCTCAAACGAATAACAATAATATCTTCAGAGTAGCAATGAACCAAACTCAAGATCCTTTAATCCATAAAGTTCCAGTAAGAATAAACAACGAGAGTTATCCTAACCAACCTTTAACAATTAATCCAACCACAAAGGATTATAATGAATTGTATAGAAACTATAAAAACATGTGTGAATTATTTGGAAATCCACCTCAGTTTGAATATGTAGATTTTGCAATTAATCATCCAATCTTCTGGTTTGATCTATCAGCTCACCAAGAAGATCTTTTCAAAACAGGGGTAAACATAAATATTCATATTGAAAAAACACAAGGAGATGTAACTGGTTATTGTTTACTACTCGAAGAAGCAAAACATTTAATTAAAATAGCAGATAGAAGAATGATAAGAATTGAGTAAAAAATGCACCCTTAAAAATGAAACCAGAAACTTTAGTTATGAAAATAATAGAAGCTATGGAAACTAATTCCCCAACCGTAATAACTTTCAACGGTAAAAAAATCAACATAACTAAAAAACTTATTGATAAATACAAATATTGTAAATCAGAGATGACAAAGACTTAAAAAGAATTGATACAAATGTGAAAAAAGGTGAATTTATATTTTCCCTACCTTTAATATTTGCTGGTCTTACCGCGGCGGGTGCAATAGCTGGTGCTACAGCTTGTGGCAAGCTGCCAACGATAAGAAAGCAGATGAAGTAACAGCTGCCGAAGAACATAGACACAATTTAGAAATAGAAAAGCTAGCAAAGAAAGCAGCTACTGCAAAAAAGGTTCAGGAGTGGGAGATATGATAGGTACAATAAAAGAATTTGGAAAAAGATCTGGGGAAGAAACCAAGAAAACTGTTAAACAAGGATTAAATAAATTAGTAGATAGTATTGACACGGGAGAAGTCAAAGTCAAACAAAAGGATAATGGAATATTTTTAAAAAATATACACACATTGGCATTGTCGATTACAAGAATTTACTAGCATACTCAAAATTTCTACATGCATTAAGAAAGTCGGGATCCGAAACAAGAAGATCGAAAGCAGTTGAAACATATTTAAATAAAGTTATTCCTGATGAATATGAAGATGATGAATCAGATGATGCAGAAGATCATACACCAATCATACAAGAAATAGACGATTTCGAAGATATGGTATCTGAACAAGATATAACGTTTTTATCCGACAACAACGAGGAACTACTTAATAGATTACGAATAATATTAGCGGCCATGAAGGAAGGACATCGATCAGACAGACAATATAATGAAGTAAATTGTATATTAAAAAGACTCCTAGAAAAAGGTATCATAGATAAAAATGATTATAAAAGCGTGATTAAAAATGTCAAATAAAGAACAACTATTCGTCATCACCTCAAATAAATCAAATTGTCTCTAGATTATGAGTACGAACTCGATCGCAATCAAGAATATGAATTGGGATTAAAATATTTCTCTGTTTACAATTCCATTAGAAATATCAACGAAAAAATAACCAAATAAAAATATCAACAGATAATGGAGTTACATTCAAAACCATACGTTTACTACCAGGAAGCTACGAATACATAGCCATTAACGAATACCTATCTGAATATGGAGGAAGTGTCAATGGTAAAAACAATATTGAATTCGAAGGTAATTTGAATCTGAACAAAATAAAATTGATATTAAGAAATAATAGTCAAGTTGATTTCAACGTGGAAAATTCATTGAATACGTTACTAGGATTTGATAAACAAATTTGCAACCAATCCACTTTAGCACCACACACAGCTAATATCGAGAATGACATCGATGTCATAAATATACATTGCAATTTGATAAACGGTGGATTTTTCAATAAATACAAACGTCAGATTATTTACAGTCTTCCAACATTCACTGTACCAATAGGATATAGAATTATAGAGAAACCATTTCAAACAACGTATTTACCATTTAATTCCTTTATGATTAAAGATATAAATCTGGAAATCAAAGATGGTAAAAATAGATTTATAGATTTTGGTAACGATGAAATTGTTATTCAACTTCATTAAAAACAAAAAAATTAACACTCTTCATTCTCTTCTTGAATAGTTAGATAATCGTAATCATCAAATTCGTAGTTTTCATCCATGTTCAATTCTTTTCCGTCGTTGATATAATCTTCTACGGATATCCTATCTTTAGAGTAACCCTTAAACGTTTTCTTTTCTTTTAAAATACCGTCGGAAGTTAGAATGATATTGTATTTAACTTTTGGCGCTAAATATAAACCAAATATAATTCCACCATCACCGTAATCATTCTTTCCTTTACAATAATCATTTTCGGATACCAACCCAGCTTCATTTAATTTATCCCAATTGCTAGACGAAATGTATAAACTATCGGTATCCGTATAGTTTATTTCAGGCTTATAAAATCCATCTATGACGCAAATAAAATTATTCATTATTTTTTTACTGTGAGATAAAACGAATGATCCCAAATGACTAGTCGTGTAGATTTAGGAGGTGTACAGTCAAATTCTTTTTCTTCTTCATTTATCTCAACTATATATTGACTATCATTTACTTTTTCATAGCTTTTGACGTGTGAATCGAAGTTGGCTTTTAAAGTCGCTTCACTCCATAGATGTCTCGATGTAGTTATATCCTTCTGAATAGATTTACCATACAATGAATTGCCTAATAATTTCATGCAATTACTACCCACGATATTACCTTTATATTTATTTCTTAAATCTCTCAAAATTAAAATATAATCTCTATAGGGTGGAGTTTTAAAATTTTCTTCGTAAACTAAATCTAATATTTTAATAATTCGTCCACCGGCTTTCACTATTTCTTGAATATCGACCGATGTTAAAACGTCATAACAGAAACCATATCTGAACCTGATTTTAGTGCCAGTTTCCTATTTACCTATTCTATTCGTTAAACTGATTTTATCTTTAGCTGGTATGGGTTGGCAGAACATGTTGGTAGGATATTCAAACCAGACTTTTAAAATAGCAGTTCTAATTATATTATCACTTGGTGTTTCTGTGTATTCACTTAATACATTACAATTTTCATCCATTTTATTCGTTTCAAATGATTTTCGATTTGCCGAAACTCTTCCTCCTTTAATACTTTGTCTGATAAAATATCTTATAAAAGGGTGTGTATGTGAGTAAACTTTTGTTTCATGTTGAAAGGAACATGTGAAATTAATATTTTGCAAATAATTAGAGTTACCCTTTATTTCTTTCTGTCTTTTCCATTTTTTCTGTAAATCTTTATCGGTGAATGAATTAGTTAAAGGTAGAGACAGAATTCCTCTGGCTGTTTTTAAAGGGCATTGTGTTAGTTTTTGATCATGATCCAGTTATCAAAACCGCTACCGTTATGAGCAATTAATGTTATTCTTTTTTGATCTATTTTTCCTAAACGTTGTAACATTTGATCGATGCAATCTTTACCCACAAATATTTCTACTATATTCATTAATTTATTATATAATTCTTCTGGTACACTATCAGTGGGATTTAAAGTTATGTTTTATTCTGTCTAACTTTTTTCTTAGTTTTTCTAAATTAATTAACGTGCAAGAATAAGGAATGGCTTTTTTTCGCTATAGGTTTCGCAATCCCATGCGTATAAACAATCATCGTGAATGGTTGGAAAAACGTTTAGTTTTAGAGGTGAAACTTGCGTTATCGCATTATCATTTCTACAAATTCTCAATACGTTTTCATCGTAATTATCTTCTATTTCTGTAATGCCTGAAGTTTTGTTATTTCTTCTAATGAGACAGAAATGTGATTTATGTAAGTAAAATACCCAATCTAATTCCTCGAATACTTTCTTTGGTTGAAAATGTCTATGTTTGGGCATATAAATTTGAAAATTAGTATTAAATTTCTTATTGAGTTCACAGATTCTAGCAGTTGTCATAACTCCTTTTCTGTTTGATTTTGAAAAACTGTTGATGAAATCTTGAAATTCTCTCGTGTAGTCTTCGTTTAAAACACGATTTACGCACTTTACAAAGCAGTATCCATCGCTCGGTATATAACAATTTATACCGCTATATTCATTTATCTTTTTGAGTAGGGTACGACCACTACCCTTTTTGATCTTTTTATTTCTTTGAAATTGTTTTTACGTAAAATGATATTTCCTGTGAAAGTATCTGATTTTACATCCACTTGTGAAAAGTTTTGGCATTAAAGCCTACAAATTTCATGTATTGTTTGTAATCTCCATCTTGAATTATCTCTCCATCTAATTCAATTTGTCCTTTAAATGTATCAAATTTATCAGAGATAAGGTAATTAATTCTGGAAAAAAGTTCATTTGATATGAATGTTTCATCGTCTAAAATTTCAATTTTATTCATATTTTTTAAGCAACTATTTTTAACTAGGAATTTTTAACTTTTATTGATGATATTTCTACATCAAATTTATCTAAAATTTCATTGAATTTTTCTAATTCTTGAATGGTTATGTTCTTATCTTCTCTCGATCTTTCGAAAAATTATTTATTAAGATATGTATTTAAAATTTCTGTTTTCTTTTTATAATGAGCTTTCTTTTTTGATGTAAAACCTAAAGTAATAAATCCACAAGATGAAGTTTGAACGGCAGTGAACGCGGCTAATACAGTTGGGACAATTATTGGAAGCATTAATCCACCGGTTACGGCTGTTGCCATCGTTATCCCTACTGTTAGAACTGTGCTTAATGTATTGAAAACAGAATCGATTTTACATTTGTTGAATTGTTTTAGTTTTTCTTTTAGTTCGTTTTGTTTGTCTATCATATATTGTTGTCTACTTTCTAGTTCCATTTTTAAGGTAATTAAATTAAGTGAACTTCTGATAAAGCAAAAGATGGAAAGTGTTTAAGATCTACAATAGGTTTCCCAATAAGACGTTCATTCTTTGTTTTTTCATTATCTGTTATAATTATTTCAGGTTTAATAATAAAAACTTGTACACTTACTAAGGATATTTGTTCTTTCGAATCATTAATCTTATTCAGATGAACTGAAAATTTTGGTTTTTCGATATTTATTCTTATCCAACATCCATAAGAATATATACCTCCAACTTCTGTTCCATCATTACGTTCAATTATTGATGAAAATGTTATAAATTGTTTTCCTTGTTGACTTTTATGAATATTGATTGAGGTAAATAAATCAGTTGGATAGATAAATGTGTCTTTATGTAAAAAACTTTTATTAACAAAATATAGTTTAACGTATTCAAAGTCTGTTGCTCGTAAAAACTGATAACTAATTTCTACTTTTTTGTGGTTCTGGATTTCTAATAATACTTACTGATGGTAGGCTTTCCGTTTCCAATATCATATCAAAAACACTAAAAGAAAATTCATCTTCTTCATTATCTGGTATGATTAACATTCTAAACCTATCTATATATTTTCCACTCGTTTTAATTTCATATAAGTGATCAAGGCTTGTTGTTTTCGTCGTTAATATCTAATTCTTTAGTTTCTACATTTTTTGTACCATTGATAAACTGAAGAACTTTACGAGCGTTAAATTTTTTAAATTCATGTAAGTTTTGTTTGAAGAATATTGTATCAACTTTTACCTGTAAAGGAAAAGTTATTTCAATTATAAGTTTTCCTTTGAAAATAAAAGCATTATTATCACCACGAAACGTTGAATTGGGATCATCATTTTTTGGTTTATATACTCTTATATTTGCTGTAAATCCATATTTTTTATATTCATAGTCTTTTGATTTATCAATATTATCAGTAATAGATGCATGATCAGAACTCAAATTTCCAAATGAGATACTTTTTTTCTAATGCGACTATATTTTTATCCTGTTTCAAAACTAGGTTATTAATAGTGGTTATCTGTTGTTGAATAACACTATCATCAATATTTTGTATTTGTTGTTGAATATAGGTTTTGATTTCGCTATTATCTATGTTTTGTATTTGTTGTTTAATATTTCTTAGTTCTTTTTGTAATTCACTGTTAAGTTTAATTTCCAGTGCATTTAATTCCTGTTGAAACGTGTTTTCATTTTCATCTGGAATGTTATCTATTAATTGTTGAATGTCTAATTTTTGTTTTGCAATCTTATCCTCTAATTTAGATATTAATGAAATTAAATTTTGTAACTCAGTTTTATTCGCTACGTCGACCAATTGTTCTTGAATAAAACTTATTAAACCTGATACCTCTTGTTGTAGTTTAGTTTCATTAACAAAATTTTTATTATTTAGTTGACGTTTGAAGAATCTTTTCACATTACTTATTTTATCTTCTAAATGGTTTTTATTTACTTCAATTGAATTTATTTCTTCCCGTAAATATTTCTTGTGAACAGCGTCATTATCATTTTCCGGAGACTTTAAATTAGTTACTTTAAAATTGTTCATATCTAAATCACCTTGAAGAGTGTCTTCGATTTGATCCACAAAGTAAGGTTTCGCTTTGATAATCCACGCTTTTGTCAAAGTCAGTCAAGAATTGTGTCTTGTAAAGTGTTTACGAGCAATTGTGGACGGACGGACGAACGGACGGACATGGGTGACGGCAATATACGCCCCCTCCCCCCCATATCATGTGGGCGTATAAAAATCCATTAATGATCATGTTTACATAATTATAGTTATAGCGTAAAATTTACCTTTCTTATATTTCAGATCATTTATTTCATCTCTCATACAATAGTAAAACGGTGATATATTTAACTCATTCGCCCATCTCATAAGCTGAAAGTTTGTGGTTGTATCGGTTCCATATTTATCGAGAAATTCATTTTTAAAAGTCGGTTTTTTGAAGTTCGTTTTGATAAAACCTACCTATGATTTGTTCTTTGTCTTGATCGATTAATTCATATGTCGGAGGTGATGTGGTGTTTACTTTATCAACGATGAATATTTCGTTTGTCCAGTATCCAACGTAACCATTTTCGAATTTGCTTTTATATTTGAAAATACGAACTCGATCTCCGACTTTAAATTTGGGTTTGATATTTAAATTCTTTTTTTCATTTTCGTAGTTATGTTGCGCGTTAATTGACTTTATAATATTTGGATTGCTGGTGGCTGGTGTGACACCTATAGATGAATGAATTTTGTTATTGTATTCATCTACAACCTCTGGTAATATTTTAAGCCATTTTTGAGATTTCAATTCCGTGAACTTTTTGAATAGTTTATTTTTTAGAGTTCTATTATATCTCTCAATAACTACAGCTTTACCTTCATTATGCGTGCTGTAAATTTCAAACCCAAGTGATTTCATATTTTTGTTATAAAATGAACTTCCTTTATCTACCCACAGTTTTTCTGGATGTCGGTTAGATTGTTTCATAATCGTTTCAAATGCGTGTTTGATTGATAATCCTGTTTTGTTTTTCAAAGGAATAACCCAAGCATATCTCGTATACAAATCTATAACTGTTAAGCAATATTTAAATCCTCTTTCGACTGGCATATGAATTAAATCGGCTGACCAAATTTCATCTTTTTCAAACACTTTGACTATTAAAAAGTTTTTAGTTTTTCTAAATTCTTTATGAATTTCATCCGCTAATCCCATGCCTAATTTCATCTTTGCTTTTAACAGTTTAATGATTAATGCTCTTTTCATTCTCTCTTTGAAAGTTGGATTTGGAATATTTTCAATTTCGATTATCATTTGTCTGTCTGCTTCGTGTCTGAAGTTTAAGTCTTTGTTTCTGTATAGTATGTCGTGTTTAAGCGCAGCGGCATCAACTCTATTAACTGGTTCTTCGCCGGGTTTGGGTTTATCGTTTAATCGCAGATCTAACCTGGTACCTGGACCGGTGTAGTAATGACCGGGAAGATGTTTTTCTCCGGGATATTTCGCCCATGGAAATCCAGGAAGAGAACCCAATGATTTTTGTATATCTGAACCAAAATAAGTTTTTGGAGCGTGAGCGACTATCATTTTTATCCTATAACTTAAAAACCTTTTCCTTTCCTTTCTTCTAAACTCCTGTTTCGCAGATCTCTTATTAGTTGTAATTCTTTCAATTCGTCAGATTGTTTCACTTATACTCTTTCCCGCTTGCGCGATTGAGCCGACGGCTTTCGCTCCGGTTGAAATGAGTGATTTGTTTTTTTGAAACAAAGCTAGCTACTTTTGGAATTATTGTTTTACCTAGAGAAAATAATGATGAAAAGATACCGTCGCCCGAATAATCTTCGTGTTGTTCGTGTTTTAGAATTAAACTCATCCTATTTTTAAATGAGTTAATTTAACGAAGAAATTGTGTTTCCAAAAAAGAGTTATCTCCCTTTTCTAGAAGTTTCTAGACTAAAAATAACATTACTTAAAACGAGGCTATTAAAAATGTTATGTTATTTTATATAAGGGTATTTTTAATATGCTTTTTTGATGAATGTAGGAAATTGATTGAAGCTGTTTTTGGTGTATGAAATGTAGGGTATATAGGGTGTAAGTATTTATAGGGGGTTTAGGTCTTTTTTTAGTGTAAGAATTGTTACGGCCTGTTTATATGGAATTATATAACGGACTTCCAGCTATTCAGTAACGTTTTCGATGAATAACGATGTCAGATAGGTGCCCTGAAGCTAGCAACAATTCTCTTTGTTAGCTTTCGGGGAAGAGAGGGTTTGATACTCCCAAATTTACAGGTCTAGGGTGGAACAAATACTTTTCATTAAGAAAATGGAATAAACGATCTGGAACGGCTGGGTATTTATTTACCTCTGTTCTGAATTTAGATAAGATAATATGTAGAGAGGTTAGATTATTACATACCTAAGGGCTTTGGTGTCTTCTCATTTCACCCCTTCCCAATTCGCCCTTAAAGTTTTCTTTTTTTGCCCCCCCCCCTCCCCTTTTCCTCTTTCCCAGTTCGACCCTTACCCATTTTGTCCCTTCCCATTTCGCTCCTTCCTTTTATAAAATTGAACCACGTAATAAATTATACTTGTTCCAATGTGAATTTCCCGTTCCCGTATTCATTTTACTGGAGCTGCAGGAATTTGATAAAGAGTAGGCTTGAATGTCAAATTTTCAAAAGACATACAAGATTAAGATTTGTATTCAATAACTTCAATTAGTTGAAATATATGTAAATGTTTGAGGGCTGCGTACGTGGTTTTCAAATTTTTCTTCTATCATATTAAATAATTGCCATTCTTTTTCTGTACTTACTCTTATACTGTCCAATTATTTTGGAAATGCGAAGAAAAAATGAGAAAGGGGCGAATTGGGAAAGGGGTGAACTAGGAAAGAAGAGAATTTGGAATAAGGGGCAAAATAGGAAGGGGCAGAACCGAACAGGGGCTATATGAAAAGGGACAAATCGGGAAGGGATATAACGGGAAGTGGCGAAATGGGAAGGGGCGAAATGGGAATAAATTGGGGCGAATTGGGAAGGGGCAAAATGGAAAGGGGCGATATGGGAATAAGCCGTATTTAGTCGTCTCAATTCAATGGGTTTCCCTAGCTTGACGGAATGTCGTTGTTTCATCTTCTGGCAGATCAATTACTATGCGCTCAATGGGGGTTAGGGTAAGATAATATGGTTGAGAGGTATTTGACACTCCAGGACTCTATTTACACACAGGTTCAAAGGAGACTACAACAACAAACATCCCTACTACAATACCTACAGATTCGTCTACTAGAGATCTCTCTCCTACAGTAGATCCTACAAATACAGAACATTCTACTGTAGTTGGTCCTGTACCAGCAGTTAGCAATGATCAACCTAATACTGATGCAATGGATAAAACAACAGATTCTTCTCCTACAGTGTATCCCACTTTAGATGGTGCTTCACCAGCTGTCAGTACAAACAAATCTAATAATGTTATAATAGTTACAGTTACATTGGGTGGAATTCTGGCAGGTGTTATAATTATTAATATAGTCGGTATAGCACTCTACTGTTTTATCAGGTAAATGCAATATTTGTTTTTTCCAGTTTTCTAGGTCCCCTGAATCCAGATCTAAACTGCATGTACACTTGAAAACGACCTTCAGAATCTTGTCCAGTAGCGATGATGCTACTAGGGTAAAGGAAGGTAATTTGAGTTGTTACCCCTTTCACGGGATGATGGCGTCGCCACTGATCTTGTCGAAACGTCGTATTTAAGAAATAAATGATTGTTATCCATATAGACTCATAATCCTAACTGCGTGTGTTGGTATTTATAATGCATAAAACAATTTTCTGTTAGTTATATTGCCGGAGAGAGGACATTGCTGGAGTTTTCTTTCAATTTTCAGGCGCCACAAGAAGCAACAGACGACTCGCAAGGCTCTCGCTAATGGTTCTGGAAATGGTGAACAATCTCAGTATGATTATATTGACTTTATCCATGATACCAATGGATGCAACTCGACCAATAAAACAGGGATTAACATGGTTCAAAACGACAACCAAAGACAAAATAATCAATATATTGAACTGGTAGCATATTACGACAATGCAAATTTGGAATCCGATAAAACACAAACGAGTACTTGTGACACAGCCAATGTTGATCCTTTTCCTATTAAAGATGGTGCTTATCTTATACCATGTAGTACGAGTACACGTGACACGGCCAATATTAAAGATGGTACTTATCTTACTCCATGTAGTACGAGTACATGTGACACGATCAATATTAAAGATGGTGCTTATCCTACACCATGTAGTACGAGTACATGTGACACGGCCAATATTGAAGATGGTGCTTATCTTACTCCATGTAGTACGAGTACTTGTGACACGGCCAATATTAAAGATGGTACTTATCTTACTCCATGTAGTACGAGTACATGTGACACGATCAATATTAAAGATGGTACTTATCCTACACCATGTAGTACGAGTACATGTGACACGGTCAATATTAAAGATGGTGCTTATCCTACACCATGTAGTACGAGTACATGTGACACGGCCAATATTGAAGATGGTGCTTATCTTACACCATGTAGTACGAGTACATGTGACACGGCCAATATTAAAGATGGTGCTTATCTTATACCATGTAGTACGAGTACATGTGACACGGCCAATATTAAAGATGGTACTTATCTTACTCCATGTAGTACGAGTACATGTGACACGATCAATATTAAAGATGGTGCTTATCCTACACCATGTAGTACGAGTACATGTGACACGGCCAATATTGAAGATGGTGCTTATCTTACTCCATGTAGTACGAGTACTTGTGACACGGCCAATATTAAAGATGGTACTTATCTTACTCCATGTAGTACGAGTACATGTGACACGATCAATATTAAAGATGGTACTTATCCTACACCATGTAGTACGAGTACATGTGACACGGCCAATATTGAAGATGGTGCTTATCTTACACCATGTAGTACGAGTACATGTGACACGGCCAATATTGAAGATGGTGCTTATCTTATACCATGTAGTACGAGTACTTGTGACACGGCCAATATTAAAGATGGTACTTATCTTACTCCATGTAGTACGAGTACATGTGACATGATCAATATTAAAGATGGTACTTATCCTACACCATGTAGTACGAGTACTTGTGACACGGCCAATATTAAAGATGGTACTTATCTTACTCCATGTAGTACGAGTACATGTGACACGATCAATATTAAAGATGGTGCTTATCTTACACCATGTAGTATGAGTACATGTGGCACGGCCAATATTAAAGATGGTGCTTATCTTACACCATGTAGTACGAGTACATGTGACACGGCCAATATTAAAGATGGTGCTTATCCTACACCATGTAGTACGAGTACATGTGACACGGCCAATATTAAAGATGGTACTTATCCTACACCATGTAGTACGAGTACATGTGACACGGCCAATATTAAAGATGGTGCTTATCCTACACCATGTAGTACGAGTACATGTGACACGGCCAATATTAAAGATGGTACTTATCCTACACCATGTAGTACGAGTACATGTGACACGGCCAATATTGAAGATGGTGCTTATCTTATACCATGTAGTATGAGTACATGTGACACGGCCAATATTAAAGATGGTGCTTATCCTACACCATGTAGTACGAGTACATGTGACACGGCCAATATTAAAGATGGTACTTATCCTACACCATGTAGTACGATTAGGGCCAATATTAAAGATGGTACTTATCCTACGACATGTAGTACGAGTACATGTGACACGGCCAATATTAAAGATGTTGATAATTATCCTACACCATGTAGTACGAGAACTTGTGACACGGTCAATATTAAAGATGGTGCTTATCTTACACCATGTAGTACGAGTACTTGTGACACGGCAAATATTAAAGATGGTACTTATCCTACACCATGTAGTACGATTAGGGCCAATATTAAAGATGGTACTTATCCTACACCATGTAGTACGAGTACATGTGACACGGCCAATATTAAAGATGGTACTTATCTTACTCCATGTAGTACGAGTACATGTGACACGGCCAATATTAAAGATGGTACTTATACTATACCATGAAGTACGAGTACATGTGACACGGCCAATATTAAAGATGGTGCTTATCCTACTCCATGTAGTACGAGTACATGTGACACGGCCATTATTAAAGATGGTGCTTATCTTACACCATGTAGTTCGAGTACTTGTAACACGGCCAATACTAAAGATGTACTTAGTTATACTAGAGATGGGATGGTAGTGGTATTTCCAAATGGCAGCAAATAAGTTCATTCGGAAGTATATGTTTCTGGAAGTGTACAATTTTGAAAGCAATTAAACTTTCTATGGAGTCCATCTATATAGCTCCACTCTTTTCAGATGAACATCTTGTTTAGGTGCCATCAATATCGTTTGTTGTTAAAGGTACAGGTATTGGATTTTTGGGGGGTTGATTTGGATCTTGAATATTATGTAAATATTCTCCAGAAGTATAAAAACTGTACGAAAATCGCACAATTCCTTCAAATGGACCCTAAACAAGAAATTTAACTTTTTATTTATTTCGTTCACAAACTTAGCTTCTTTCCAAATTGACGTTTCTTAGACCAAGATATGATTTACTCCCAGGAATCTCGCTCCTTACCTTTTAAGGTATAGACCGACAAAGTCAACCATTGTGAACAAAAACTTCATTAACAAGTCTCTATATTTGATAAATTTGTTGCCAAGTTTAAAGATCCTTCCCCTTCCAGGAAGCTTTCGTTGTGCCAATACATTTCATGGGTCTTTGTTGAAGCTATACACTGAGCATCCATTTTTAAATTCATCATTGTGGCCTCATCCAAATAGTTTGCTATTCCGATAGCCGTGTTTGCAGTTTACTGTTTTCAGAAAGAATTTTGTCTGGCTGAAGAAACACAAACAGGTTTTGGTCCAAATAATTTCGAGCAACTATACTGGTATTTGTAGTTTCAATGAAATTGATGATTTACAAATATCTACCTATCATGTAGCAATCACATGACCAGAATTTAAGAATTATTCTATGAGTAATGTAAAATATCTAGCATGTATTTATTGCATAATAGATATATTTACACGTTTAAATAATTATTTACAAATATAGGTCTATCATGGAATCGTGAAAATAGAAGCATATTCGAACCCATATCTGAAAAAACTTTTACTCCTTTCCAATACATATTTTTACAGGAAATATACTGGTATATCACTATAAATACGGTTTAACGTTTCAATATTTATTTACAAACCATGGAAATGCAAGTATATTTATAACGTCTGCATAGTCCGAAACATCTGCATCTATTCCAGCCTCTGATAGCTATTCCGGTAGTTGTCGGCTAGACACTGTCATAATAGCTATCAGAGACTTGAATAGAGGCAGATGTTTCGGTCTAACGTCTGTCCAAATCTATCAATTGCTCACACGTCTTGGCTAACTTCTAATGGTACAATCTAACTTTAATTTTATATCGTTGTAAATATATTTATAGTTTTTAATAATCTTTTACAAAATTTGGTCTATATTAACACTATATATTTACAATTGAGTTAATGTCAATGTCTGTATCCCACTATAATTGTATATCGCTGTAAATATATTTACAATTAACACTACATATTTACAATTGAGTTAATGTCAATGTCTGTATCCCACTATAATTGTATATCGCTATAAATATATTTACATTTTATACAATCTATTTACAATTGAGGTAAATGTTACGACTGTCTTTTTCTCCTCATGTTCAGTTTAAAAATCAAGAGGGTAGGTTTTCTTGGACCTGAATTTTCAAACTGATTATAAACAATTATACTTATTTCAAATTTAAATCGTTCTTTTTAAAGTTGTAGATTTATGGTATATTTAGACAACTGCATCCCTTCAAATCTTATACCTCTGTGAATCCAACTTTGTAAATTTATATCATTGTATGTTCAAACAAATGTATGCCTTCAATTTTTTAATTTTGTGATCATTGTATATTTATCATTGTATATTTATCATTGTATATTTATCATTGTATATTTAGACAACTGTATCCATGCCTTTAATTCTGTAGATTAATATCAATGAATATATATATAAGAAACCAGGGTTATCTTCAATTTTTGGTAAAATGAAACACCTTTAATCCATGCATTTTCGAGAGAACAAGTTGTTATTTAATCCATATTTATATACATCTCTTCAAATTTCAAATTTCGTGCCTTTAATTTTGATGATTTCTGTCATTGTTCGTATGTTTAGACGAATATATATCTTGAACTCTAATATATTCGTGTCATTTAATGAACACTTCAGATTTTATTTTAATTTGATTGAATGGTAAAGAAGGTAATACAATTCAGTTTCCAACGATGATCATACAGTTGCCAAGATGGCACTATAGGCTGTTATAGGATGAAGACCGGTAATTCCGTCTGTTTCCATATTAAATCACGAAATTCAACCTACTATAACTTTTTCCAGAAATCGCGTTGAAACCTTTCCAATATGTCACATGAAAGCCTGACCATTACTTGGTTTCTGGACAAAAATCAATATATCATGATAATGAAAATATAGAGCAAGCCAAACTGAAAGTAGGCCACTACATTTTATCAACATATGCTTGACTGTCACTGCACACAAAACGACTCATCATCTAAAAAAATCTAAAAGAAAATGCAATTTCAGATATCAAATCCCAAAACTAGACCAAAAAGTAGTCAGGCATGCAAAAATCCCAAAGGGAAAGGAAAAATGGGATTTAAAAAAATAACGTCACTTACATATATAGGTTTTCTAGTCTGAGTCCTTATAATCATATTGAAAATCAGAATAGTTTATCAAATGGGAAATTGAAACGTCTTGGTGGTGTCAAAAAGAAACAGGAGAGAAAACAACAGACTCGCGATTGGGGGCACGGGAATATATCGTAGGTTAATGTCAATTCGGAACCCGATGAAGTACCAACTAGTATCTTTGATACTTATAAACATTTACAGAACTAAAAGCTGTATCAAATTAGCATGTTTTAACATCTTATTTATTTATTATTTACTAGAACTATGTCATTAGTGTCCTTGTAATTTAAATATTAGAGGCTGATAGTTCAGGACCACAAGTGTTTGTAAACAAAGATAATGAACTAAAACTGATAGTATAACGTTTATTTGGCAATAGTCACAAGGAAATGTATAATTTTCTGTCAGGATTTTCCCCCGAAAACTATGAAGCTATGGGTTTTTTTCAAGACGTAATATGGTTTCTGAAGAACAGAGTTTATAGAGCAAATATCTAAATATGATGAATATATTGTAGTATAATCAACAAACAAATCACAGTTACACGTAAGATGAAGTGGAAGATAATTTATAAAACGATTGAATAGCAAATGTCTTAAGATAGATCCTTGAGGTATACCAGAAGTTATATATTGAAATCTCCATTGGTTTCGCCCAATGGAGGTACATTGGTTTCTGTGTATATGTTTTCATTTTATATTTTTCATTTAATCGCATCGCTTTACTCCGTTCTACCTTTGTACTTTTCGTGATATTTGTATTTACAAGAAAATATATTAATAGCTATTTATTCGAAGTGATTGCTACGAATTAACATTAAGGGGGGGACCAGAAAGTAGTTGACAAGCCCCCCCCCCCCTCCTTTAAATTTCTTATTAATTTACATAGTAAAAGCATAGCCTGTGGCCCCTGCTCGGCTTCCTCAGCTAATGTTTCCTAGAAACGCCACTGCTATTGAATGGTCATTCTACTACAACAAACAAAATGACTGTTAACATTATATCAGTTAGCTTCTTTGAAACATGAAAAGAGCACACACCTACATTCGCCATGGTTGCGGTTTAGAAGACAGAGATGATAAGATAACCTTTTCGGATTATCTAAACCTCTATTGCATTATTATGAAGAATACGATTTAAAGCATAATTCCTCAAATTACTATTTCCATGGTTTTCAGTTATGGTGCGGCAAATCTCACGAGATATTTTAGTTTATATGCACATGAAGCTAATGTACACTTCATTCTATGGTGTATATCTCACAAAGACGGAAACCATAGTTTTTACACTTAATCAGAATACCGTTCTCACAGCTTTCATATCTTTTTACATTTTGAATATTCAGACACGAAAGAAGCAACAGAAGATGTGGACAACAGAATCTCTAGCAAATATACAGGGTGAATGGTGAACAACCTCAGTATAATTATATTGATATTACAGTAGAGAGTAAGGATATTACGTTAAAATATTAACAGTTATTATATTCAAACTTTATAGGACAAACATTTTTATAATAATAGTAAGTTTATTGTTTCAAGGCAGAAGCCCAAAGAACATAGCCTACATTTACAATGAAATTCGTCACAATATGAAATATTTAAATATTAAATACAATTTGATGCCTTAACTGTCATGAATTACTTTAAATACGTTTGAAATATTTACAACAACATAACGACAAGATGGAGAATAATAATGAACAAACTTGAGATAAATGTGAATATTTTTGTTAAATCAATTTTTAGCTAATAATTCAATTTAAATATTTACAATTACTGGTAAGTTAATGTGCCAAACAAATAGTAATATTTACAAGAGGGAATCTCTTAGTTTCAAAGAGAGAAATAAAAAGATACATAGATTATTTACAACTTCAGGATTGGCATTAGACATGATGTTTATAAAATCTCTATAACATGCATTAGGTATATAAGTACTTATATATTGCTGGCGATACTTGGTATAACAACGACAAGTTATGATCACGTGGAATTGGTCTTCTACTTCCCTCTGATCACACACTGGACATACACGATCCTTATACACTAAACCTTGCCAATAACCTTTAATATACATTAGAGTAGCGCCATTTGTCCTGCATTTACAGAGAGCCTGTTTATATTTGTCATTTTGAATTGAAAACAAATACCTGTCTGGTTCTAATTCTATTTTATATGTACAATATTGTGCTAATAAATTACTGTCATTCAGACTAGAATGCCAATTTTGTCTGCAGCAATCACGAATTCTCTGTTTGAAAACAGATATAAAACAATTTACATTGCCTACTGCTAGGTAATTCTAAACAATTCAAAACCCATACGTAGAGAGAAGATATTTTACATGTGTTGTCCAGTTCTTACGTCCATGCTCATCATGAATGTATAACATATCATACATATTTTCGGAAGTCTGTCTGACTGCATACATAATATTTTAAGCCAATACTTTATACACCTTACAGTATATATAGTGAATAATGGATATCTTCCAATTTCTCCTGAAGTGGCATTTACAGAGGATCTTTTAATATGTACTTAGTAAATAAACTTTGAAAATGTTCTATTTGGGGAGAATATGTGTGGCCCCATATTTCCGATCCATACATAAGGATTGGTACGATCATTTTATCGAACATTTGCATTGCTTAGCCATTTTATATGTATGAAGGCCTTGTTTGCCTGACATATAAGAGTTTGCCTGACATATAAGAGTTTCTTTTGTATTTGTCCAAACAAGTTTAGGTGAGAAAACAATGCCAATATATTTGTAGCAAGAAACTACTTCTAACTGCTGACCTTTATAGTACCACTTCTCATAATGACGAAGAGGACGGCCGTTCCGGAAGACCATAATTTTAGTTTTGCTTTCATTTATAGTCATGCCGAATACAATCTAATTGGATACGTCTGCGAAGAGAAAGGACATAACATTAGGGTAGTCATCTGAAATATAGACACCGCTACACTGAGAATATTACAACTGAACAAATTTGTTAGTCCGCTTGTAGTTTGGACAAAGGATTTACACGTTTTATACATGTTTTCAAGTATATGTAAGAATTTCCTCTGAATTCCTCGATATCTCAAAACCTGCCATAGCAATGGAGGCTGTACGAAAGCAGATTTGAAATCGATAAATATGACAATCACTTAATGAGTACGGATGCATATTATAAAACAAGGAAATGAGTAACGTGCTTGACTGTCCTTATAATCGTACTATATAGGACAAACACTTAAGGAATTCGGATGTATATTAGAAAACAAGGAAATGAGTAACAAATCAGGCTATATATTGTTAAAACTAAATGTAATTATGCACCCCAAAACAGTGGATAGAAAACACACATTTAATACTATATATGGTGTTAGAATAGACTATTTTTACACCTTGTTTGCTCTCAAATTAGTGTTATCTTTTGGTTACACCTGCAGCATATATTACGTATTCTTCAAAACACTAAATGTAACCCTTAATTAAGTGTTAATTTGTCCTTAGTGCAATTAAACACCTTAAATTATAATCATTTCACTGCTTCGTATGTATCATTACTCATATCTTACTATTCCTTATACTTCTTCCCACAAAACACCTCAAATAGTTTCCCCATCTGACCACGAACTTGAACACTGATTACACTTAATTATGTAGGGAGTCGACATTCAAATGAATATTGCGCCATTTCATTGGTTACATTTCATTTAGATGTATTTGGATTAAGAAGTGGGGATTTCCCTTAAGGATTAAATAGCAAACGACACCAATCATCCAATCAAGTTTGGCCTTGTACATTCCAGTCCGAGAAAAAAAAGGGGCGCATGAAAGATTTTTTAGCTCGAGACTCCTCAATAATAGTGGACATGATGGAAGACGAATTAGCAGGTCGTATTAATATACTTTTGAATTTTCTCTTAATCGGTGCCTTCATCAAGTTTCATTTTAGCAGTCCAGAAAGTAGGCCCAATCGACGTCATCCTACTACGATATTTCATTATTTTGACAAATTATATTTTTTTCCAAAGACACCCATGTTGTTAATTACTTGGGCTTAAAAATAAAATTTGTCAAAATAATGAAATATCGTAGCAGGGTAAATGTTTTTTTTTGAATTTTTTTCATTATTTTTAAGTGAATTGGAATGACAGCCTAGTACTGTTAGTCTTAGAATGCCCTTGTGTTAATAAATTATTAACATGATCACACATTATATCATTGTTAGTTACCCACTAACATACCCGTATTGGGGTACGAATACCCAGTATATAGTGTAAACTTGCACCAATATTGTATAATACTTCAAGACTAAAAGTTTACAAAGTGGCAACATAGTTGTTTCCTCTTGATTAGATGTGAACTCTCTCATTATTTATTACAGTTTATACAGTGTCCAGTAAAGATGAAGTCGGTAGTATGTCTTATGGTTTTTCTCTCCATTTCTACAGGTAAAGTTTATATATTTATTTATTTATTATTTATTTACCTATGATTATATTAATATTAACTTGAACAGGTACTGATTGATGTTATTATAAGATATATAGAAAAGCAAGACGACAACACAATAATAACTTAATAATAATAACTTTATTTTGGCAACCCATTTAGACAGAAGTCTAATTTTCAATAGGTCCCACTAAACTACAAATTATATACAAGATTACAGAAAGAATAAAACCACAAAAAATAACATAAAACATATAAACATTAACAATGTTACATGGATGAGGAAGGAAATATGAAAATGTAACCACTATGTTTCCCACGAAACTATGAATTATATACTAAGTATATAATAAAAATACAGAAAATTTCATAAAACATATATACATTTACAATGTAACAATGGATGTGGTGAAAAACATAAAATGTAAACACTGCATGTGTTTCTTATATGATATATATGATGGTATAAGTTTTTTAAGTAAAATGAAATGGTGAGAAAAACAAAAGGAATGGTTATAAATGCTATGGAATCAATTAATCAGTATTGTCAGTAAGAACAAACTTCTTCAGTTCTTGTTTAAATGTATATAAAGAAGGATTATGTTTTACAGTTTGTGGTAATGAATTCCAAAGTAAAGAAGCTGTATATTGAAATGTTCTCATCATAGCAGTTTTATTACATTTCGGTAATGCCTGTATACCACAGTAGTGTTCACGATTTTCATCTTCAATTATTTACTTCTTTCAAAATCCCGCCCCATGCCTGATTCCGTCAAGTATAGCCTGTCAAAAATTTAGCTGCCCAAATTAGAGAAAACTATGGCTCAAAATCTAGAGATGTGTGTCACATACATTACCACCATGTTTTTTAACTAAAAACATACTGTCGTTAATCTACAAAAACACCGAAATTATCTTAAAGGTTTACGTTAACATTTTACATCCCTACGTTTTGCGGTTGATGTTGGAAAATCAATGTACGGTAATGCAAAATAAACGTAAAGTTTTAGAGAAATATTTTTTTTTATCTATACAGCTTAATATATCGAGAATTTACTTTCTTAAGCCCAAACTGTTATTAATTCTTCTAGGACAAATTCAGGTTGATCAAGTTCATCTATAGAAGTAACTAGTATATTTACAAATAGTATCGTGTATAATTTACATCGTTTTTAATACTGACAATTTTACATTGAAAATAATCTCACTTCCTCTTTAATAATCTCCTTTATTTTCAGATTCAAACGACTCTGTATTATAACATGATTGTGATTCTTCTTATTTCAGATTCAGATGGTTTGATAGAACAATACTGTAATGAGCCATTGTGTTTTTTATGTGGCTGTGGAGACAAGTCAGTTTTTAATATAAGTTGTGAGGATAAAAATGACATAATCTTAATGGAACATGGTGGATATCGAATGAGAGAAGGTGAATATGATTCTGATGACTGTCCATTAGACAGCTATGAAACATGTAAAGAGAGTAACTCAACATCTATTTTAAACAACCAAGATCGAATTGAAGTGTATAAAAACTGTATGCTTAAACATTCCTGTGAAATAAACATCCAAGAGAGGTTAAGAACAGGGAAAAAGAGATGGGTGAATTATCCATTTGCCTGTTATCCTAGTAAGTTTTTAGATTACTGTTTTCTTCTTTCTTTCTTGCAGTTCATATAGTTTTCTAATAGAATGTGTTTTGATGTGGTCCTAGCTTTTAAAATTTTGGAATTCTGAAAATATTAAGTTTGGAACGAAGAATGCTTATCTTAGTGCTTATGTTTTACTGAGAAATGGAACATTGGTTAGGGGTTAACATCTTCACAATTATTATTAGGCTCTTTCCGAATACCTTGACATTATGCCGCCTAACCAGTGTTCCATTTCCCCGTAAGGCCATGGTGAGGGGATAGTGAGTAACCCGAAAGTACTTTTCTTTCTGTTGCAATCTATATTGACTACATTGTAAAAATACAATACCAAACAAACCTCTTATTCATTTCAAAGATAGAAGACTGATATAAGTAGTGTAATTTAGGTCGGGACTATTAAGTGATATTTCTATGCATTAATAATTTCTGCTTAAAGAGATTGTAAAGAGGTTTTCTAGCCCTTTTTATATGTATCGGGAACCCATTTAACTTCTATTTTGGGATATTCCTATTCTTCGACCGATGTGGTTCCTGCAATTCCAGAAAGAGTTAACCGGAAAAGACGCAGCTCCCGCAAGAGAATTTGTAACCAACCTTACAGCAGACCTCATAATAATATATTATGTTATCCCCCCTTAAAAGATGGCGGCATTTCTAAACTCACATTTTGCTTCAACTTTGCCTTCCAAAACTATTTACTATGTCTTTCGGGCGAGTGTAATAAGAAAACTCAAATTCAACATGGTGGAAGTTGTAGTCACTTGTAACATAAACCTTTGGATTCCTAAAAATGTACAAAGAGCTACTGAGAATAGGTTTATAGCTGACATAGATACAGAAATATCGAGAATTATAGATTTTAAAGATCGCTTTTTTCAAATTCAAAATGACGTGGTTCCATATCCAAAAATGTTTACAACATCAAAGTAACTGTATTTCCAATTTTCCTGTATCACAAAATGAACAATAAGTTTGGTGTGCCTCTGCAAACAACTTTAGTTTCTTTGTAAGGCGCCCTCCCACTAAAGCGATCACCAGTTGTGTATGGTTGCAAGTAAAAAATAGTGGTCATACATTCCGAACGCAACTCACTTGCAACTAATAGGCAAAGCAAGGTGATCGCAAGAAACTCGGGATAATTTCGGAAAGTTTTAATATGTTCAATAATTCTCTGCGAATGTCGGTGATCAATTTATATGCAACCGGGACCCACACGAGACGCTGCGCACGCTACACGATCGTAACAGCTACGCAGCTTAGAAGTTATGAACGCAACTCAAATTTAAATCTGCTCTCACACTATAGAATAGCGTATACTGAAACATATGAGTTAACTTATGGGTTGATTATTAAAAGCGTGATAGCTTTTTTCTCATGTGATATTAGTGAAGTCGATTCATCGATAAAGGTGACGGAATCATGATCGTAGCAGGCACACAACACAATTGCAACAAGATCGCAACAGGTGCGCAATACATTATTCCCTGTAAGGCCATAATAATTATATATACTACAACCAGGCCATATTTGTTCATCACTTATAAAGCTACGATTACCTAAACGCAAACGCAAACTCAGACGTAAACCCAATAAAAATGGACCAGAGCAAATCTAATCAAATTCCTCAGCAAATCCAAATTTCTGCTTACATGTATCCTCAAACTCCAAATCAACATCTCCGTAGACGCAACGCATAATTCAATGAGCGATTCGTTGCGTTTGTGCATGGTTACGGACATGTTTGAACTAACCAAAATGGGTGAATCCCCTTTATGACATCATTACTGTTTCCCTTTTACGTTGACGATTTTACTGGGAAGATATAATCTCATTTTTACTTTGAGCTTGAGTTTGAGTTTGAATTACGCTTACATACACATGTAATAAGCATAAAGCTGAAATTACATGTCTGTGTGTACGTTAGCGTAACTTAAAACTCAAACTAAAGCTCAACATTAAACTCAAAACGTGATGTGTCCGTTTACGATGATTCCAAAAACCCACCAATTTACATAAGATGGTTACAAATTGACAAAACTTACTTTTTACTTGCAAATCAAAGTTTTCATACGCTTACATTCGAGGGTCCCTTTACCCAAGGATCTCTGGATCTACTACTTCAATCTTTCACATATTAAAAACTGATATTATTCGGTTGTTACTTAAACTTTGCCATAATACATCTAATAGTCTATTACTCAAATTGACTGTGATATCTCTGTAACTACTTAAGAAGTTCGTTATTTGAATTTGAAATAAGCAGATGAAACGTATATTATAGTGAATTTTTACTTTGTTTCAGAATCATTCCTCATAGATTTATCTAATGAAATAAATAAAAATGTCGAACTACCAATGTTTTATTTTTCTGGAGAGAAGTTAAATGTGAACTTAAATGACGCCTAGTTGAGCTTACAGAAGAAATTGTTTTACGTAATTACTACATTTACACACAAAGAAAATGACTAGATCTGTAAAAAACTTGGGGCGTACCACGTCAACTAGGCCTCGTGACTTTCAGATCTTTCAAGTCTTTGAATCCCTGGTTTTCTGTGGTTTATCAATAGTATAAAATATTTCCAAACACAAACAGTGTAACAATATACCCAGGCTTGATATTTAATAACAAAGATACATGGTATATATATATATATAGTTTGTATAATAAATGGACAGGAGCTGAATATATGGACATAACTTTCTACATGATTTTTACAAAAGGTACAAAGGTCACAGTCACTAACACATATTAATTTTAGATACGACTTTAAAGGTAATATTCTGTGGATCAATCTATATTGAAACCATTGTAATTTCGAATCTCTGGTTGTTCTAAATATATTACTGAAAATATTTTCCACATTAAATTCTCATCTGGTAAGTTCTGATTCCATTTGACAGTAGCTTTTGGAATGATATTCTGATTAATTAAAGAATTATAAATATCAGCACACCCCTTTTGATTTTTTAGTATACAGATAAAACTGGTCGGCATAAAAGGTCTGACAATTTCAGATTTAGTCTTATCAATAATTAAATTTTCTCGCTTTATAAAAAGTTTTACACAGTTTATAAACCCTTGATATTTCAAAAATGAGATATTTAGAATTTTAAATTTTACTTCAAAGTCATATTTGGATAGAAAATTACCTTTAGTGTCTAGAACATCACCTAATACTATTACTCCCTTACTAAACCATGATTTATATAATAAAGTCTTTTTGTCAATTTCAAAATAGGGATTATACCACAGTGGCATTTTCAGTGCAGCTTCTTTATTGTTATCAATTTTATTTAATAATTTAAGAAATGAATCAAATACATCTTTCCAAAATTTGTTTCCTGTATCTTTTTGTAATTGAACAATAAATTGACTTCCACAATTAGATAAATAATTTAAGAAATTATCAGGTTGTGATGGTTTAATTAATTTTCTTATCCACGTGCATTTTAGAGCAGCTATGAAATTGCTGATATCTGTCATTTTTAAGCCGCCGTCTGAATATGGTTGAGCTATAACGCTACGTTTTATCCTATGAATATTTGTACCCCAAATAAATTGAAATAAATCCGAATTTAATTTTTTAATAAATTCTTTTGAGGGATTTGGAAGTGAAAGAAATAAATGTACCAATTTTGGAATTACAAGTGTTTTTATTACTGTTACTTTACCTATATGGGAGTTAAATGTCTTTGTTTCCATAGCGATAGTAAAGTGCCTACCTTGGAATATTGTTTGTTATAATTAAGAAGAATCATATCATCAAGGTTTATACAAAAATCAAATTCTAGTAATGAAAAAGATGAATTACCCCATTCCAATTTCCAGCGGTCGTGATGATAGATTTCTTTGCTATATTTTTTGCTTCCGATCCATACAATTTTGGTTTTTGAACTATTTATTGTAAGACCCGAGAGTTTAGAGAAAAAATCAAGAGTGTCGAGAGAAGCAAACAGTGATTGTTTAGAGCCATCAAGAAAAAAAGTTGTGTCATCAGCAAATTGTGATATTTTATGCTCCTGATTTATAAACATTCCACATATATTTTTATTAAAATGGCCAAAATCATACATCTACCACTTATAAACCCTGTTTGAGAATTTGAAATCAAAACTTTCAGGACAGACTTAATTCTAGTTGCTGTACAGCCTGATAATAGTTTATAACACACATTTAATAGTGTTATTGGCCTCCAATTTTTTAGAAAATGTCTTGGCTTATTGCCCTGTGGAATACACGGTAATATAACTAGTTGTTGATCAATTGGAAACATTTTATTATCATATGATTCACGGATGGACCGCAAAAGAAAATGTTTGATATGAACCCAAAAGCACTTATAAAATTCTGCCGAAAAACCAGTGGAACCTGGTGATTTGTTGCATCTCATTTTATTCAAAACATTTTCTAATTCCAATAGAGTTATTTGACCTTCTAAGATTGAGATTGGTTATTGAAAGTTTCTTTATATTGTAATCGTTCAAATTAGCATCTAAGTCATATTCTAATAATTCATCTTCTTTCGAATCATAAAGATTAGCATAGAATGACTTGACCTGATTTAGAATTACCTCTTTTTTGACTACATTTTCCCAATTCTAATTCCAACCTTTGAATAGTTTTATTTGTATAATTTCTAGTTTCCAAGCTGCAAAAATACTTTGAGGATTTCTCACCATCTTCTATCCAAGTAGCTTTCGACCTAACTATTATACCAGCCATTTCTTTTTTCCTTATGTCAAAAAGATTTTCTTTGCATTTTTGTAAGTTATCAATGTCAGAGTTGTTATAATTACTTGAGTCAATTTTTTTCTCTAGGTTATTTATATCATTAATTAATATTTTTTGTATTTTATTCTTTTCTTTGTTGATGTAAATTGAATAGCCTATAGTTATTGAACGCAACTCCATTAAGAGAACTGAAAAGAAAGATGTGTCCGAAATTTGTAACTGCAGATTAGCATCATCTATTTGATCAATATAATCTTTATTATAGGTTATCAGTGCATACTGTTGTCTGATTTTTTTTATCTTTTTAATAATTGTTTGAACGTAGAGCTCATCATTCAATAGGTCAGTATTAAATTTCCTCGACCACGATTAAATTTATTAATTATTAATTAATTTCAGTATAGGCATTCACATTGTTCTTAAACCTATAGTGGGCCATGTTAATGTATGTAATATTTCTATAGTACAAATTCCTAATTCCTTGATTTTTTTTTTCTCTTTTCACAATTACATGCAAAATCCACTGATATCTTTTTGAAGTATCAATTCATTTACATCTCTTAAAAGGGGATTGCTTATTCATTTTAAAATTTTGCGCAGATAGATTTCCATTTCCATATGTTATTGCGGAAAAACTTGATCACTTAAAATTTGGAACAAGCCACATACTACTTTATCTGAACCAAAGGACTAAATTTAGTCAATATTTTTTTAAAGGGATCATACCACATCAAAGAGTCATAACAATACCTTTAAGGAAGCGATCATGCTGGACTTTAATCAAAATTTACCATAAACAAGTATTTATATAACATTGTTATATAATGATTGTATTTGTTACTTTCTGGTAGATGTTTCAGTTAGTTTATATCTAACGTCTTTTGGTGCGTCAGATAGTCTTTGGAGGATTATACTCAGGTCTTCAAAGATTTCTACTTTCCCTTTCATCTTGGCATATACAGATCCATTATAATACCATGCTGATTCGATTTCTTGTTATTATTTAAAGATGTGAAATCATCAAATATCTTCATATTGTTTTGGAAAAATTTAGCACGATGCTGCATTACTTGACTTTTAATTTCCGAATTTTTGAATTTTACAATGACAGGCTTAGGTTTGTCAGCATATCTTGAAGGAAGTTGATGAGCAGCTATCAGATCATGTTCACATAGTTTTATACCAGTAATTTTTTCAAAGACGTTCATTATCTGTACAGACAATTTGACGTCAGCAGCGGCTTGAGAATTTTAATATTTGTTTTTCTGCTATACTGCTCGTTATGGTTGGACATTCTCACAGCATCATTGGATTTTTCTTGTATAAGTGTTATTTGGTTTTTTAGGTCTGACATCTCGGATTCTTATTTTCAGTCTCTAAACTAATTAAATGTTCTTGATTATTATTAAAACGTTCAAGAGATTCCATTGTCATCTGAGAAATGTCGTTTATGTCAGCCTGAACAGCATCTTTAACCTGTTTGTATACAGTGCTAACCATGTTATTCATCATTATTTCCAAGTCATTTTTGGTTATCATTGAGTCCATTTTGTCTTTTAAACTAATTATCACATCCGAAACATTCATTGAGGTCTATTAGTGGGTCTTTGTGTAGTCTGATCGGTTGATTCCATGGCACTGGATCGGGTGATTCGCTTTTCCTGAACACTTGACATTTAGAGAGTTAAAGTTTGTAAACACAATCAGTCAGACTATTCAGCTATATACATTGACCTCTTTCACTATACCTTTCTACAGGTGTGTGTCTATTTATTGCCGTATGTGTACTCAGGTATAATTAGGTCAGGTCAACGATTTTGCATGTTCATTATCCTACAGCATAAGAATTTTATTCACAAATATTATCTCACCTATAACAGTTCCAGGTAATATTATTTCTCCACGGGCTTCCATACACTTTAAACCACTAGCATGTACATTTTAACAAAGATCACTCCTTCAATTATTGGAAAAAAACTGGAATTGTGTAGAGCACCTTGACTGTGTATTGACTAGATATAGCCACCATTTTTCTTTCTGATATTTTAACCAAGTTAATGTTGTCACACAATAACGTTATCACTTTAGTTATTTAGCGCGCAAGTTTATAATATTTGGAATACACAAACATTAGTAGATTTTTCTAGTTTTACACCAAACTAATAACTAAAAAAAACTGACGACTAGCTAAGATTATATTACACTATATTTCTCATTGTGTTTTATTTTAAGTTAAGAACTTATCATTATTGTGGGACTTTGCTTATCAGTTTGTTATCGAATTGTCAATTCTTTTTTTTTTTTTCGATTTTTACACACCTTCCTGAGCTTAGACTACAATAGTTGCAGCAACCATTCAACATTCACGAACCCTAGATATAGGCGACGATGTGCATAAATATATTTTGGATCTTTTTTGCAAAACCGGAAGTGCCACAGTTCAATATATGCAAGAATAGATAATCGGCTCTAGAAGTCGTATTTTTCGGTCGATTTTCTTTGGGTTTGCATTTTTGGAATCTACTGTTAAAATCTGAAAGAATAGCAGTTTCAAAATTTCAAAATTCGAAAATTTGTCGCAGACATTTTTTTTGCCAAATTTTGCATTTTTTTCATTTTTTTTGCTTTTTGTGTAAGAATGTAAACAAAATGGTACAGTCAAATTTTCAATTTC